ATCGTCCTTGGCGTTTGCACCAGTCTGCCAATAAATCACATACTTAATAATTTTCTTAAATTGAATATTTAACAAACTACTTATAAAATATTGTGATTGAAGAAAAATTGTCAACAAAACTAAAATTTTTTCTTGTGCTGACAAATTACTACAAGCCTCTTTCTATTATATTTTTTTGTTTTATCGTTTACGAGCTTTTCTCTAACTGTTTGGCGATACGAGAATCCCTCGTAAAACATAATGTTCGTAAAATGTACGTTTTCTTGCTGGCTGGGTAAGTAATTTGTGGTTGTGTTTGAGATTTGAAAACGAAAATGTAATTGTATTGGAGTGTAGGGTAAATTGTTCTGGTAGGGTTAATATTCAGTAAACATTGCTTCTTTTTTTCAATGCTTATGTTTATTGACAACACGCAACACCGCTAATAACAATAACTTTATTTTAAAAAACTGTCACTAGTCGATTTTCAGCCTACTCGTTATTGAAACGTTAGTCGAAAATGAACGGTTAATCGAATTCGAGCGGTTAATTGAAAAATTGCTATTCAACTATTAACCGAAAAAATGGTTGCTAATCGATTAGTCACTAACCGAATAGCCGGAGCAAGAGCTCAAGACTCTCCTATCGCTTTTAAGAAAAAAAATTTGATTCAGGATAAACTCCTATGCTAGCGGGCTAATTGATAGGATTTATGCTTTTTAATATCGAACTTATGCTGCAGAAGAACATAGAGATAATTTCTTTATGGAATTTAATATCTAATATTTTGAAATAAGTAGCATATGTATTTCGAAATAAAAGAAAATTTTCAAAAAAGAATAAGATGCTGTTGACCATTTTATATACAACCAATATTCAAAATTACTTTTCAAAATATTCGAATTTTTAAACTTGAAAATTGCTTTGAAATAAGATATGAGATTCGATTAGATAATATGGGCACTTAAAGTTATGATATTGGATTTCTAAGTAACACTTAAAATATGTTAAACTAATTTCCTATACAAGTTTGAAAATTTTTTATGTATTGAAAATTTGAGGAAAAATTTTCTTAATTCGATATTTTTGAATATATTTTAATATCGATATTAAAATTTGAAGTGCTGAATAAAAATTCGAATATGTTCTTATAAATGTTTATCGAGCTATAAGAAATTTATATTTTTTATTATATTTTTATAATTTTTTTTTTTATGAAGAACTACGTTTATATAATCTTGCAATATTTCTGCATCAAAAAAAAGGCAATGGCTATTGTATGAAATTCAACCTTTTTTTATAATTTGAAAGATATTTTTCAATATGGATCATTTTTAGAATAAAATTTTCAAATCCATTGAGACATTTTTCGATATACATATGTATATGTATAAGTTTTAACTTTTTCATTCAAAATATGTACATATGTATTTAAAAACATACTTTAGAGTGCCTCATAAAAAACTTGCCACCTGAATTATTAAATTTCTTATAATATGTATGTCAGAAAATATAGAGATTTAAGTGATCACACCTCCAAAAATCTAGATTTCTTACAAAATACTTTGCTTTTAAAAATAAATTTATGCAGACTTCTAAGCTTAAATTTATCTATAATGGGATGATATATTCCGGGAAAGTTATTTCTAAAAACTGATTTACCGCCCAATTCTGTGTTTTCTTGATAAATTTTTTGTAAAGAAATTTTATCAAGTAAAAGCTTCCTTCGCATTCTGTGTCAATATTTATAAAACAAAAAGCTCTTCGATTTCCACATGAGTGGAACCATTAGCGCACACAAGGGGTGGGATTTGGGGTTCAAACCTTTTACAATCTATATCTTAAAGCTAAGAATCCAGCTCTGAAGGAAATTATAAGAAATATTTATTATAATTTCTGTTGCTTGAAAAAGCGCTTTGCTTTTGCTGTAAATTTTCATGAGGGAATAAATATACGAGCATTCTTTTTCTTGAGAGCTGCAAACTGATTTGAGAAATTTTGGTAGAAGAAAATTTCTTTTCCATTTCTCGTCCGTCGTTTTATATGAATTTTTCGTTTTTCTTGAGAGTTCAGTTAATTTTTTCGGTATTTGAAATATTAAAAAAATTTAGCAATCGTGAAAAATCACCATCTCTATCGAAAACCAGAGATCGAAAAAAATGAACATAGAAGTGTAAAAATTCATGGAATCAATAAATTTATTTTTACCGACTCTTTTTTTTAATTTTTTATTAGGTACTTTTGAAAGTTGAGCGCATCTTGAGTTTATAGAACTTTTTATTAAACAAGTAGTTTTTAAGGAAAGAACACAACCGACTTCAATTCTCATATTCAAATTTAGGGGTACCGTTAATTTCTTCTTTATCCAAGTTATGTATTCCGGCGAGATGATAACCTCCCTTTTTTTTGAAGTCGGTTAAAAGCGTTTGAGTTCTGTTAATCTGTAAATAAAGTGCAGTTTATGAATTTTAAAACGTTTATTTATTTATTACATACTGTACATAAAACTTGCATAAATGTATTTTAAAGAGGGTATTATCTGAAGCAAATTTTCAGTATTTTCCGGTGATATATCTTCAGAAATATAAAACCCCCCTAAAATATATTCCTGGGTGCGCCCCTGAGTGGAACTGATTTCCACATGAGTGGAACTGATTTCATTGTCACATATGAAAAATATGAGTTTAAAAGCAAAAAAGCTTATATATATAGCATTTTCAATTTTGATAATTTATCAAGAAAAGAGCTTTTGATTTCTGTGCTAGAATAC